AATAATAATAATAATAATAATTTTAATAATAATAATAATAATAATGGAAAGAATGAATGAAATATGTATGAATTTTTTTTTTTGTTGAAATTGTCAAAGAGTTTTGTTATATGAATGCGAAAAATGAAAATAGACAAAGGAGAGAATAGGAATATATATATATATCTGTCGGATGTCTGGAAGAGATATCGTAACAGTAAGTGGCACGCCATATTTTTAATTGATATTAAAATAACAATATTTATATTATAATGATAATAATGAAAGGGAAATGAAAGAAAATGAACGAAAACGTTTTTGTATTTTTTTTTTTATTTTTGGGTAAAAAAAAAATTTCGAATTCGATTTTAGTACTATTGTTTCTCTCTCTCTCTCTCTCTCACTCTCTCTGTCTCTCTCTATAATATTATCGATATCCATAAATTTTGTATACCTTTGTATTTTTAGAATAGTGACGTCAGAAAACCTGAAGTCAAAAAAAAAAAAAATTAGACGACGTTATATACACATAAATATATATATTTTTTTTCACATTTAAATTTTTTACGAAAAAAAATATTTGATATAAACGTTTCGTTTATTTATTTTATGACACGCGATGAAATAAAAAAAAAAAAAATTGAAACAATAGCAGAAGACAAAAAAAAAAATATGTCGAACTCAATGTCAGGTTTGATGATTTATAATTTTTTTAACAGTTAAAATTTATCGTCCGTCTCGTGCAGAAAGTTAAAAAAATTAAAACGTAAAAAATTTATATATTTTCTATCTCTTTTTCTTTTTAATATTTTTATTCCCTCCCTTTCTCTCTCTCTCTTTCTCTTTCTGTCTCTCTCTCACTCTTTTTCTCTTTTTGTCATTTAATTGGTTAAATATTGCGACGAAATGTATTAAAAAAAAAAAAAAAAGAATTAAAAATGGCATGGAAATCATCACGCAAAAGAAAATTATTTTAAATGATTAATATTAATAATGATAATAATAATAATAATAATAATAATAATAATAATAATAATAATAATAATAATAATATGATATTAAAAAAGAAAAACTGTTTTTATTTATTTATTTATTTTAATGACGTAACATTTACACGTTAGAAAAAGCAGACGACGACGACGACGACGTATGAAAAATACATAAATTAAAAAAGATTTAATAATTTTTACGTTATGTTTATCTTATGACGTTCAACGGTCACAATTAATTTAAATTGAATTTTTTCACTGGATTCGTTTTTAACGGTTTTTTCATCATCGCCATTTCCGTTATCGATTTCCAACGAGATTTCTTTCCATTCGCGATTTTTCGATAGTTCGATGATGCCGTTGAAAAAACCCGCGAAAATATCATTTCGATTTGGTTTATTCGAAATTAAAATTTTTTTAACGTCTTCAATTAATTTTTTAATAATAATGTCCTCCTCCTTCTCCTCCTCTTCCTCTTCCTCCCTCTCCTCCGAATCGGAAGACATTTTGAAAATTTTTCTCTTGTTTTCTCCCATATTCGACATTGTCAGAATAATGTTTGTTGTTTCCTTCGGATTCGCGAAACCCTTTTGCGGAACTTTGAAAATCTCCTTTTCGAAATGATCCTTTTTTGTGGTATTCGTCGTGGTGTCGTCCGCTGTTTTCATGACTCGTTTTTTTATAATCTTTACCGTCGGATTCGTGTGTTTCGTGTTTGTTACCCATTTTCGAGTGATGTCCTCCGTCGTTTGTTTCGTCGAAAAAAACATGATCTTTTTTAAATTCTTCTTTGTGGTAAACGTTGTGAAATCCGGTTGTTTTATATCCTTTTTTATGATTTTTTTTCATAGTAAATTTTTCACCTTCTTCTCCATTTTTCTCTTCTTTCACTCCGTGGTACTTTCCATCTTGTATAAAATGTTTTGTATCGCTTATACTATCTTCCTTATCGTACGATTCTATTTCTTTGCCGTGTTTTTTTTCCTGTACTTCTTTGTTATAGTCTTCATAATGTTTGTAACCATTTTCATCGTTTACTCCGCCATAGACAACGTCTCCGTTTCGATATCCATACCCTTCATTCCCATAGAAACCACTTTCACCTCTTTCATCTTGAGCGTAATAAGCCGGATGTAAAAGAGACTCGAAACCTCGATTTACAAACTGTGCAAAATCATTGGGTTGAACATAATATGTTTCATCCAGTTTTACCATCGTTCCAGGACCGTATCCATCGCTGGTATATACGTATCCCGTTGCGGATCCTTTCAAATCCGATTTTGATGCGTGTTCAACGTACATTTTTTTTTCACCGTTTGGTCCAGTCACAATCATTCTCTTTGATGATTCTGCCGATAGAGATAAACACGAACAACACGTTGCGGTCATGAAACCGGTGAATAAAATCAGCTTTAGCATTTTTTTTTTTTTTTATTTGTTATCGATAACACACGAACCGTTTTCTCTCTCGAAATGATGTCGTTTATACCGATTAATCGATTCCAGATAAAGTTTTTATATGAACGACGTCTTACTTAAGCAAAACTTCAAAACAAAGTGGGTGGGGGGATTTATAACCGAAGGACAAAACAATTTCCTCATGATAAAAAAGAAATGGTTGAAATCAAACAAGAAAAAAAAAACCAAAGGTTAGTAAATTGACGAATAATTAGGAAATAAGATGCGGTTTCAAATTTTCATAATTCGGTCGCCATTTTTTTTTTTTTTGTTATAGCGCTATATTTACGTGACGTCGTGACTGACATCGATATATCGAAAAATAGTTTTTAAAAAAAATATCGAACGATCGAAAAGAAAAACAATTTAAATTAATTTTCTTGGGAAAAGATTTAAATTTTCTTTTCTTTTTTCATCCTTTCCCCTTTTCCTCCCTCTCCCTCTCTCTCCCTTCCTTCCTCCCTCTTAAAAATTCTTATTTTATACATATTAACGCACTTATTAAAGAAGATTACGTAAAAAATTTTATATTTATATATATATTATATAGAAAAATAATTAATTTTAATAAGTTAATTATAATTACACGAATATTTTTAATAATAATAATAATAATAATAATAATAAAACTCAAAATAAATTATTTTTGAAAAAAAACAAAATGGGGGATTAAGATTTCAATCTATTTTTTTTACGTTAAATTGAATTTTTTATTTAATATATATATATATATATATATATATATATATATATATATATATATATATATATAAATTTTTAAATAAATAAAAACAGTAAGAAAAGTATCGTCTTATCGTCTTCTGCTTCTTGTTTTTTTAAAATTTTCTAATATTATCGAATGCGAAACGTAAAATTTATTTTATTAATATATATATATATATATATATATATATTTAACAATCGGAGCGAAATTTATTTTAAAATAAAAATGGCGGCGTTTTTTTTTTTTTAATATTCGTTTCATTGGAAATGCAATTATCCGAAAAAAAAAAATTTTTTTTTTTATTTATTTATTTTCGGACGATTTGATATTTAAAAAAAAAAAAATTTTTTCTTTTCTGGAATGGAATGCGAATGAAAAAAAGTTTTTTTTTTTTTTAAATATATATATGATAATAATAATAATAATAATGATAATAAAAATCAACGGTCGTGCGGTGGTGTGGATGCAACGAACTAAACGGCATAAACGGCATCGATTAATATGGATGCCTACAGGAATTAAAAAAGGAATTAAAATGATTCTTGTTCTTTTGCGCGCGAATTACAACACCTCCTAATCCTGGTTACTCCACTGATTTTTCCAAAGTTGAGTCCTGGGAAAAAAGGGACTCGGGAAATGTGCGATTTGATTTAGCATAAATGATATTCAGGCATTTATTCTTTCCTTAGGAATCAGGGGTGGAGAGAAAAGTTTTGGAAAAATTCCGACAAACACACACAAAAAAAAAAAAGATCATAATAATAATAATAATAAAATTATAAAGGGGGGGGGGGGAAAAATCAGGTACGAGTATATAAATTAAAAGGTAAAAAGGTAAAAACCCTAATTTTTTATTAATATTCTGTTTGTACAATTAAAGAGACTTTCCACGTGTGTGTAACGAAACAAAAATTTTCACAGAAAACCCTCAACGCATTTTCCAGCGTATCTTTTTTTACAAGAAAAGGGAAAAATGGCGGGAATTTTCTTTCAATTTTTCAAAATTCGTCGAAAGGAAATTTTTTGTTTTATTTATTTTTTAAAAAGGGGTTGTTTTACATTTCTTACTATACGCAAAATTCTTTATAAATTAATTATAATTTTTTTTTTAATTAAAAAATAAGGTGACCGATTTTTAGTTGACCTCTGACCTCTGGGGTTTGTGAAAACATAAAATAATAATAATAATAATTTGTAGTTTTGGGAGAAAAAGAAAAAAACTTGTATGCAATATGTCGTTTCGAGTAAATTTTCTTTTTTTTTTTATTAGATCGCGAATAGTGAATCCGCGTAAAAAATGTAAAGAAAACTTTAAAAAAGAGGGGGAGGAAGGGAGGGAGAAAGGAAGGAAGGAAGGGATTGGGTGGATACGATGAAAACTTATATTAACATCCGGTACCATTCACCGTATAAAAAATAATAATAATAATAATAATAAAAAGATTTGTTTCGTGAAAATTTTTGACATTTAATTCGCAAAACGTAGGAGAAAGAGTGAGAGGGAGAGAGAGAGAAAGAGAAAAATGTTTTGAAATAATTTTTTTGTATGTAAATTAGATTTTTTAAAATTTATCACCACTTTTGCCAACTTTTGAATTTTCAAAAACAAAAAAAAACCAAAAAAGAAAAATTTGAATTTTGAAAATGGACGACGACGAACTTTTCTATTTTTTTTTTTTTATTAATATTAAAAAAAAAAAAATTTTAATAATCGAATGTCGTCTAGTGACACGTCTTCTAATCAGATTAAATTTAATTCTTTTGACACCGATGCAAAAAAAAAACAAAAAAAAAAAAAAATTTTTTTTTTTTCTTTTGAATATTTTTTTTTTTTTAGTTTTTTTAATTAAAAAGTTGGCCAATGTCGTGTCTGCGTAACTCGTTTTGAGGTTTTTTAATTTCCCTTTCTCTTGGGTTGTTGTTGTTGTTGTTAATCTTTGCTTTCACAATATTTTCCCTGCAGTAAACAAAATTTGACTTTTTTTTTCTTCTTCTCTCCCCTCTTCCCACCTTCCTCCCCTCCATCCACCCTCACCACTCGGTCCTCGAACCTTTTTTTACATTCGTTACCAACCTAACTTTTATTTCCCATTAATTATTTTTTTTTATTTATATACAAAATAATTCGTAAACACACACTTTCTGATACGCGCGTCATCATTTAATTTGACCTTTTGACCTTTTATAAAAATTATAAAAATTTTCTTTTCTTTTCTTTTTTTTTCTTCGTTGTTGTCATTCAACAACGTACGCAATGAAAAAAAAAAAAAAATTTTTTTTTTTTTTTTAATTTTGTACATTAATACTCGGGAAAAAGAGGAAAAAAAAAGAAAAGGAGGAAAAGAAGGAAAATTAATTTGAAAAAAAAAAAAAAAAAAAAAAACTTTTTTTGACAATTACAAAAAAAAATTTTCCAACAGCATTTTAATCTTCGCATTTATATATATATATATATATATATATATATATATATATATATATATTATTATTATTATTATTATTTTGTCGAATTTCGAGTTCGTAATGTAAAAATTGAATGTTTTTTTTTTTATAAAAAATGATTTTATGCGTTCTTCCCCGTGTGTATACACGTTTTAATATCGAATAGAATATCACTTTAAAATGCAAATGATTTGAACAACAAACAAAAAAACAAACAAACGAACAAACGGTCATTTGATTTTCTTTTCCTTTTTTTTTCAAATGGTTTATGATTAAGTAAGTATCCCATGGTGAGAATCTAATGGCCATTTTATAATAAAATGGTCAATTTTTTTTCTCTTCTTTGAAAATCTCGCATTTCATTTTATTTTTTTTGTTGAATTTAAATAAGAGTTTTACGAAACGATATATATATATATTCCTACAGTCGTTACCGTTTAACCCCTTTCACATTATTATTATTATTATTATTATTTTCTTTTTTTTTTACGTGTCCCCAAACGCAAACCCTATAAAATATTTTTTAAGTGTATACATTTTCGTTAAAATCAAATTCAAGAATTTTAAAAGATGTGATAGAAACACTCGAAGAGGGCGACGAAGGGGGAGGAAGAGGAGAAGGGGAACGGGGAAAGTTTGCGAGGGTTACAAAGGGTCATTAGTCAGTTTTTTTTTTTTTTTTGATTTTATGGCTTTTTTTTTCTTTTTTTTTTGTTTTACTTTTATGTCTTTTTTTCTTTTTTTTTTTTTTTTTAATAGCTGTCGACAGGTTCATTGTTTTTTCACGACCGTAAACCTTAATATCAGGAAGGAAACAAAAGAGGGGGGAGGAAGAGGGTGGGGAAAAAAAGAGATTTCATTTGCATTTTTATTCATAGTGAAAACGCTAACGATCAAGGGGTTGAAAAGAAAAAAAAACAAAAAAAAGAATAGGGGATGAAATGAATTCCATTTATTTTTAAGATTTTTTTTTCCTCTCTCTCCCTCTTTCTCTGTCTCTCTCTCTTGGTTTTTCACTCTTGCGCGATTTTTTTTTTTTTAACTCTACAAAAACTTTATATATCGTTATTTATATATAAATTACCTCGGTGATTAATTACGTAACGAATGATATAATAATAATACTAATAATACTAATAAAATGTTTTTTTTATTTCTAAGATGACACAATCCACCGATTAATTATTATTTTATTATTATTATTTTAAATAATGCGATAAAAAAATTACTTATAAATTTATGTATTAGGTAATAAATAAAATTTTATTAATTACGTAATTAATATATTTAAAATAAATAAAATTTAAATTACATTATTAACACTTAAATAAGACTCATTAAAATTCCTTTAAGATGTGACCAATCAAATATTAATATAAAATATAACAGGGTTGCCAACCTTTTTTTTTTTTGTTAACGTTTTCGTAAACGTCGTTGAATTATTGTCGTGTCAATCAATAATTCGAAACCTTTTTTTTTTTTTTTTTTAAATAAATATTTGATATTAATTGATTTAGAAAAAAAAGCAAAAATGGCGTCATGTGACGTCATGTGATGTTCGTTAACATCAATAAAAAAACAAAAAATTTTTTTTTTCGTTTTTTTTAAATAATTAAAAAAGTTTTTGAAAAAAAAACGAAAGAGTTTTTATGAGATTAATTTAATAATAATAATAATGATGATGATGATAAAAAAAAAATGGCGAACGGGGGGAGAGGAGGGGGAAAAGACCAAACTAAAACCTGATGAAAATATAATGATGAAG